TCCCTCGTGTCGAGCGTCCGGCGGTCAGCCACAAAAGGCGAGAGAGAAGGGGGGGGGGGCGTTTTCTGAGTCTGCTTATGCTAATGGAAGACACTTAAAGAAGATGTCGAAAAAAGGGGGGAAAAAAGGAAATCCGGATGCGGTTCGAATGTCATCTCTAACTCCTATTTCTTCCTCCCTCCTCCCCACTATCTCATCTCCTCCCCTCCCCATCTCCCGCCCGACTCAATATCCCTCTGCAGCTTTGTCCCCCCCTCGCCCCCTCTCAACTTTTCTTTTCAATTCTCCTCCCTCTCTCTCTCTCTCGGCCTGCTCATGTTCCTCTGCGCTTCCACCCCGCCCTCGTGTCATCTCCCTTTTCTTCATTTCTTGCTCCCCCTCCACGCATCTCATTCTCCCTTACCCCCTACCCCTCCCCACCACCGCACCACCTATCATTACCCACATTCCATCCCACCCGCATCGCCCCCACGCCTCCAACAGCTCCCCTCAGACCCCATCCTCCCCCCCCCGCGCGTCTCAGCCCAGCCGAAGCAAGACGACGGCGTCCTTTCAAAAGAAGCCAGCCAATTTCGCCTCGTAATGCCGGGCGCTACGAATTTTGCCTGCCTCATCTAAATTCAACTGGTTTTCTCTTTCAGCCGACTAAACCAATTTCTTCGCCGATCTATCGCGAGTAGACAGGCCTCCCCCATTGCCCTCGCGTGCCCTCTGGCGTGCCCTCGGGGCGTCTCATCTAAGTGTAGGCTGATGGCGAGGATGCGAAAAGAGACAATAATAAAACCATGAATGAACGATCACAAACGACTAGGGCATCGTCAGCCAGAAGAAGGAAACATGAATAACGTACAGGAATGTAATTGTTCGGAAATAATACGTGTGGTCATTCGTATGGTAGGAAATAACACTATTCATTTCTTATATGAAAAGAAAGGACATACATTATCATTAATATGGAAAGAAATAACACGCGTAATCTTTATGGAAAATAATGACATTTATCATCATTTATATGGCAAGAAATAACACACATAAATATTCATACAAAAAAAAGAACACACCACTAATAAATATGGTTCTAGACTCGTAGAAAGATGTGGCAAGTGGATGTAAGAAGAAAGTGGAAGGGTTCTAACTCATCTCCACTTCTTTTGCAGTTTTTGATTAGTTTTCTGCACTTAGATTTCCTCATTTTCGGGTGCACGATGTCTAACTTTTTCTGGTGCATAAAACGCCGAGTTGCTGCTCAATCCCAACTCTTTACTGTCAGTGGCAGTTGCTATTGGAAGAATATGATCCAAATTGATGATTGTCGGTCGATGTGCTTTATACTCTCTGTCTCTGTATCTACTCGTATTTGGAAATATTTTGCTTTATCTTGCTATTGTATCTGTCTCTTTTTTTCTCTCTATCTATCGTCTCTCTTCTTCTTTCTTTATGGTACTCTATATATATATATATATTATATATATATATATATATATATATATTATATATAAATATATATATATTATATATATATATATGTATGTATGTATGTATGTATAATATAGATAGATAAGATAGATACAAACCACACACACACACGTCACACACACACACACACATGAATCCGTACACTCGCATGGAATAAACATAACGACCCGGAAAAAACTGCAGCCGCTCACTACCGCAGGCGAAGGAAGCGCCCAGCACCGCCTTCGCCGCGCCCGTGCCCAACGACCCTCGGCGGTTCCTTCCCTTCCCGCCGCCACAACGACGGCTTCAGCCCCTTCGCTCCCCGTCCGCCCGCCGTCGCCGTCGCTCCGCTGTCGAGGGCGCGGGCGGCGTCCCTATGCAAATGGCACCAGACGAGAAAAAAAACAACAACAACAGTCCTCGAAAAACAAGCACAAAAGCCAAGGGTTATTTTCCAGGAAATTTGTTTGACAAGATGCTTCCGCTTGGGTTTAGCATATAGAGAGCTCGCTCGCGTAACCGGAGAGGGAGGGAGGGATGGGATTCCAGCTCCGGCGCGCCAATCCGGGAAGGGAGGGAGGAGAGGGAGGGGGAGGAGAGAAAGGAGGGGGAGGGAGGGAGGGACGGAGGGAGCAGGAGTTTATTTAGGAACGGCGCTCAGTAATGGGAGGAAAGGGAGGGGAAAGAGGAGGAGAGAAGGAGGCAAGGGGAAAGTGGGGAAGAAAGGAGGAAGGGGAGGAGGAAAAGGGAAAGGGAGTGAGAAGGAAGGTAGAAGGAGACAGAGGGAAACAGAGAGGAGTAGATAAACAGATAGAAAAAAAGGATAAATAGAGGAAGAGACGGAAAGGGCGAGAATGAGGTAGAGAGAAGAGACGAGAGAGAGAGAGAGAGAGAGAGAGAAGAGAGAGAGAGAGAGGAATAAAGTCAATCAGAGACAGCATGTCATGCGAGTCGACCATCTATCAGCCTCAAGCCATACGACTGTTTGCTGCCTTGACAGAGTAGATGGAAATATTATTCATCCAACGGAAATCAGATCTATGGAGGAAAATCATCTGTTTGATCTAAAGCCATCTCGGGATTCATAATGCCAAGGACAAGATTCTGAATTGCGAAAGAAGCGGTCTTGGCAAGGAAAATGTTTACAGATCTTTCGTGATTTTCGAACTTTCGGAATCTCTCTCTCTCTCTGTCTCTGTCTCTGTGTCTCTCTCTGTCTCTCTCTCTCTCTCTCTCTGTCTGTCTCTGTCTCTCTCTCTCTCTCTCTCTCTCTCTCTCTCTCTCTCTCTCTCTCTCTCTCTCTCTCTCTCTCTCTCTTCTCTCTCTCTCTCTCTCTCTCTCTCTCTCTCTCTCTCTCTCTCTCTCATCTCTCTCTCTCTCTGTTCTCTCTCTCCTCTCTCTCTCTCTGAGAGAAAGGAAGGAAGAAAAGAAGGAAGACAATTTTCCGTATATTTTTGCAAATAAGGTCTTTGAATACTTTTTATATATATATATATATATATATATATATATATAATATATATATATATATATATATATATATATATATATATATATTATATATATATATATATATATATATATATATATGTATATATATATATATATATATATATATATATATATATATATATATATATATATATATATATATATATATATATATATATATATATGTATATATATATATATATATATATATATATATATTATATATATTATATATATATATATATATATATATATATATATAATAATATATATATAATAATATATATATTATATATATATATATATATATTATATATACATATACATATATATATATATATACCAAAGCATTACGGAATCGAAAATCAAAAAATGAAATCTTTAGCAGAGAAAATAATCGTCCGCGAGGAGCATAAATATCATTGATAGATTCTACGCTTATAATCGTACATCATCAATGGATCCGGTCAAATGACATTAAGATTTTGAAATGTATATATATAGAAATATAGATTTGTAAGCGCACTCTAACCCATGGCAAGCAAACATGTTTATACATGTATTTTGACAATATCCAAAAGTAAACATTCGGTTAAAAGCACAAACATATCATTTGTGGATTGTGCCGTATTAAATCATCTTCAACAATACGAACCTTGCTAACATGTTATCACTGAGTAAATATTGCCTATCAATTTCAAGGTTTGTGAATTAATGTGAACTGTTCGCATTGCTGGGATATCATGAGTTGCATTCAGATTTTTTTTTTTTTTTGTATCCTTTTGCGACGTTGAGTGAGATAGATAGATAGAGAAAAAGAGATAGGGGGGGGATAGATAGATAGATATGGAGAGAGGGGGGTAGAGAGATAGATAGGTAGATACATACATACATAGAGAGAGAGAGGGGGTAGATAGATAGATAGAGAGAGGGGGGGGGGTAGATACAGATACATACATACATAGAGAGAGGGGGTGGGTAGATAGATAGACTGTTAGATAGATAGATAGATAGATAGAGAGAGAGAGGGTTAGATAGATAGATAAAGAAAGGGAGGGTTAGATAGATAGATAGATATAAGGAGAAGGAGGGTTAGATAGATAGATACATACATACATAGAGAGAGAGGGGGGTAGGTAGATCGATACATAGATAGATAGAGAGAGAGAGAGATGACTGATACTGCTCATGAAGGTAGAGAGAATGAGGTAGGGGAGCGGCAGATAGATACATACATACATACATACATAGGAAAAAAAATATATATAACTGTACATAAATGATACGAGAAAGCTGGATATTTAGAAGAAAAAAAAATCTACGTATGTTCAGATTCCTCTTTTATTAGATTTATTAGTCCACCTAAACCGGGCGCGGAGTCGAGTACCAAGCCAGTCTGGATGTCGGCTCACGCTAAATACCAAGAGAGTGAAAAAAGGAAAAAGATGGATAGATAGATGAATATAAATATAGATAGATAGCATACAGTTGAAATATTACGTATGCAAATTCCAGATCATATCTTTCACTGAGTATGCGTGTGTGTGTGTGTGTGTGTGTGTGTGTGTGTGTGTGAGAGAGAGAGAGAGAAGAGAGAGAGAGAGAGAGAGAGAGAGAGAGAGAGAGAGAGAGAGAGAGAGAGAGAGAGAGAGAGAGAGAGAGAGAGAGACTCTACGGTCAGGTAATGCCACATTTCATCTAATATCACCAAGTTCTTGAAGAAGAAAACATCAATAAGTACTTTTAGTTTAATTTGTTGATATTATTATCACAATTACTGTGATATTTTTATTATAATTATAATGATCACGATTATTATCATCCTTATCATAACCACCAGCATCATGTATGTCATTACCTTGCCCATTATTATCATATCATTACAGCCACTATCATTAATGATATCCTTGTTAACATCATCTTTATTTTGATTAGCCTTGATATAATCATTGATACCTTGCCATAATTGTCATCTCCTTATCATTACCCCCCCCCTTTCGTCATTCCCTCCTCATTCCCTCTTCATCACCTCCTCCCCTTCCTCCCCTCAG